AGTTTAAAACAGTTTTCCAGGGGGAAATGAGGGCAGGCCAATGCAGCCAAAAAAGAGTTGGGATCTGCCTTTGCAGAAAGCTGAGTTACACTGACAGAGAGGGTTGCCAGGTGTCCTGTATGGAAGCAGACAGCATGGTATTTTAGCTTCAGGTGTATTAAAATGCAGTAAATACCTGCTTTAAAAAAACATTATTATCTCAGATGTTCTTTTTCTTACATTTTGACTGACTTTTAATCAGCAGAAGTTTGTAATTTCAGCTTTTAGTTATTTCTGCTAAGTACTGAATGGACAAGCACTACTTAAAGGAGCTTTATAATTTTCTTGACACGTGAGGAATCCTTTTAGGTATCTGTCTGCAAGTAAACAGTTTCAACACTAATGTGAAGCGTTCTGTTAAATAAAGTAAAAGTTTATCCCTTAGGAGGGCAGGTACACTCTACAGAAAGTTTTCCCCCCTCAGTGTCTGTGGGGTGGATATTTTTGTAATCCTAGGAAATACAGTTATCTCTAGGACAATGAGAAGAGCTAACATTTATTGAGGATTCACAATGTGCCTGACATTGTGTGAGCATTCGATGTCCTCCACCATCTTTCTCACAACCGTCCCAGGAGGGAGATGCTCTGATTATCCTCATTTTATAGAAGAGGAAACAGGCTCAGAAAGATTAAGTATTGAGGCCAAAAATGTAGACGTTATCTTCAATTCTTCTGTTTTTCTCCCACCCCTCATCCAATTTGTTAGCAAGTTCTGTCAGCTATTAACTTCAAAATATATCCAAAAATCTGATCTTTTTTCACCCTAGCTCACTCAGGTCCTCATTATCTTTCTTGCCTGGACGTTTCATTAGCCTCCAATTGCCCCCCTGATGCTGCTCTTACCCTGGGTACAATCTTCCTTCCACACAACAGCCAGAGTGGTCTTTTTAATCTGTAAGTCAGACCATGTACCATCTAATGACTTTCCTTCACATTTAAAATAAAATCCAAAGTCCTTACCAGGACTTACAAGGCCCTACACGATCTGGCTCCTGGTTGCTGTGTGCAAAGTCTTCATTCTGTTCAACAAAGAATTACTGAGGGCCTACTATGTGCCAGGGACTATTCTAGATGCTGGGTATACTGTTCCTGTCTAGAGCTTACATTCTAGTGGGAGGAAACAATAGTCAAGGAAATATGGAGGATTACACCTATTATCCTAATAATAACCTCGAATGGAGTATAATCTGCAAAAATACTGAATCACTAACTATGCTGTACACCTGAAACTAACACAATATTGTAAATCAACTATACTTCATTTAAAAAAAAAAGAAACGTAGGCTATCAGATGGTGGCGAAGGCTATGGAGAGCAATGAGGTAGAAAGTAAAATAGGAAGTGTGAGTGGCAGGCAGAGGCCACTGGGGTGACTCAGCAGATGACCAGGAAGGTCTCCTGAGAAGGTGACAAGGGAGCAGACACCTGAAGATGAGGAAGAAGTGAGTCAAGTGGATTCCAAGGAAGAACATTCTCAGCATTGGGAACGGCAAGTGCAAAGGTCCCAAGGAAGAGGCCTGCTTGGCATGTTTGAGTAACAGCAAGGAAGAGCAGAGAGAGTAAGTAGAGGAGTGAGTGGAGGTCAGAGAGGTCCTGGAGGTGGTCGGGGAAAGGGCAGACCATGTAGGAACTTGTAGGTCCCTCCCCTGCCCCGCTGCAGGGACTGGCCTTGGAGTGGGAGGGAGGGGGTGGCTGGGGAGGAATATGAGCAGGGCAGTGATGTGACTGTGTAGAAGGGCAGCAGTGGCTGCAGGGACACTGGTTCAGAATCAGAGCAGGAGCAATAGGGTGGTGCTGGGCCAGGATGGTAAAACCACTGGATTTACCAAGTTGAAAGATGTAGCAATGGAGGCAGTTTCAGTGAAATGGTGGCACAAGCCTGGCTGGAGAGGGTTCAGAGAAAATGGGGTGGGGGGCGGAGACGTGAAGGCAGTGAGTGAAGAATATCAGAAAGTGGGTGGTGGCTAGAGGTACAAGAGAGGTCAAGAGAAGACTTTACTAAAATGGAAGAAATTGCAGCAATTTCTTATGCTGATGGGACGGATGGAGGAGGAGGAGGAAGGCAACTTGCTGGAGCAGGAGAGAGGGGTGAGTTTGTGTACCTGTAGGAAGGCCTTCAGCTCCAGTGATGGGAGGCAAGGCAGGGATCTGGCACAGGCGAGGGTGGTTGGGTAGCTGTGGGGGTGGGAGCTTGTGGGTCTTCTCTGTTGTTTGCTTCTATTTTCTCAGAGGAAGTTCATTAGTGAAGAGTAAGGACTGGGGAGGAAGTGTTGGAGGTTTGAGGAAAGAGAAAATGGTATGAAGCTAAGAGGAGTTGAGTGTCCATGCAGGGAAGTGATTATACTAATGGACATCTATCTAAGCTGGTTAAGGAGGGAAGTGAGGATGTGAGGGAGGAGAGGAACAACCAAAGGCAATAAGACAGTAGACAGTTGGAGTTGGGGTACTACAGGGATTGGAGGATAGGAGGTGATGGTGGGAAGCGGGAGGCTTCACGTGCCACCTTCTCTCTCCTACACTCTGTGTCAGCTCACCAGCCTTCACCTGTTCTTCCAACACTTCAAGTTTGTTTCTGCCTCGGGACCTTTGCACTTCCTGTTCCCTTCATATCTTTACATGTCTTGGTCCTTCACTATACTCAGCTTTCTGCTCTGTCATCACATCCTCAGGGAGGTTTTCTCCCTTCACCGAGATAAAACGTAATCTCTGTCTTCTGACCTTGTTTCATTTTTCTTGGTGGCATATATTGACCCCTGAAGTTACACTATATTCATTCTTATGTTTACATTCTGTGTTTCCTACTAGAATGTAAGCTCCACAAGAGTAGGAACACTGTCTTGTACATTATATTCCTGGTACATAAAGGGCAATCAATCAATCAATATAAATGAATAGTGAATACATGAACTCGTCCAACTCAGCTAATAGGTGATGGAGGCTTCCACCCAGCCTCTGAATCTAGAGCTTTTGCTCTTAACCACTCAACAGGGAGAAAGAACTAGAAGGAGAGAGAGAGGCTGCTGTAGCCCTCTTGGAGCTTTCAATCTCTGAGATTTTAGGAGCTTCCCTATGGATAGAGTTTGAGGAGAGGAAGGAAAATACCTCAGTACTGGAAGCTTTATCGGAAAAGGCAAATGGTAGAAAAATAATTTCCTGGATAAGAAAAATAGAAGGGCAGAAAACAAACCAGTAACAGTATAGAGGTCTGAAATTGGGGTATTAATCAAAGGCCTTACATGTGTGTTTGTTTTTTTTTTCAAAGAGAATGCATTAGGCAGTGCTTTTGGAATTAAAAATTAAAATAAAAAATTATCCATTTTTAAAAGGAAAAAAAAACCTTTAAAGGGAAAATTGTGGAAAATCTGGTGATAAAAGCAAAGGCTGCAATTTTTAGTCACCATTTCTGGGAGAGCAACTGATTTAGAAGATTAAGCAGTGCAGATGTAAAGCAAAGAAGCTGAACCATCCATTTTCTGGATTACACTTAAATCTTTAGTTTCATGAAGGATGACTTGGAGCAGCCATACTAGTGATGCAAAACTTATTCTCCAGTTTTTTTTCCATTTGCGAATTGTTTGGATCCATTTGAGTCAAACTTTGCCTTTGCAGGCTTGGTTGCTTCTTTTGTAAGTCTTCTTTCAAATTAGGTGACAAAACAAGAGCTGAATTACACACACAACTGCAGAAACATTTCTACTATCAAATGTAAGATGAAAAATATGAATATTGAGAGAGTGCCTTTAGTGTTGAAACTGATCAACTTTCTTGGTAAAGTTCTGTTTCTTAACACAGTCAAAAATTGGTGGGTAGGGTGTCCACATGCCCTGAGGAGTCAGGCAGGCCCCTTTGAGAGCAGAAGTTGGGGTCATGCAGATGGATGTTTGAATCAGTTCTGCTCCTCATAGTGGGATGACCTTGGTCCAGTCATTTAACCCTATTACTTTCCTCATTGCAAATTCCGTGTCCCCAGAGCTCCCTTGTGGGATGGCGTGAGAATTAATTGAAATGATGTGTGCCATGTCACGGAGTGATTTGCTTGATAAATGGACGTCATTATATAAAATTGCTGGCAGACTACTTCTTGCTCGTGGGCACCTGTGTTTTTGTTCTCACTCTGTTCATAGACAGTGCCAGGATATAATTTATCATCCACACCGGGACCCACACCAAACCAGAGGGGACTCTGGGCTCTTAGGAGTAGGTCCAGACTCTCCCCAGGCAAACCAAGACATACGGTTACCCTCCCTAAGACTGAGAAGCCCATACAAGGGAGGTGGCTGCCACCAGGCTGCTCCCTCCTGCTGGAGAGACAAGCAAGGAGGGGGTGAAGTGGGCAAAGACGAGGCTTGCCTGTATTGGCGTGCTAGTTAAGAACTAATAGTCTAGTCTTTGAAACATTAAGAACACAAGAAGCTCTCTCCTCTTCCTCCCCTGACACCTTATAATTTGGCAAAGGATATCCCATAGGAACTGAAGGATAACTGGCGCTCCTTTAAAATATCCATTGCCAGGCCCCCATCATAGATAGACCTGAATCCAAATCTCTTGACATTCTGTATATTTAAATTAGTGTATGGGAGCAGTTTCTGTAACACGGCAAGGTTAGGAAACACTGCCCTTGCCTTGAGAAAAGTCCTTTAAACTTTCTGGCTTTGACTTGGTTGTGCCACGGGATATTAAGAAATGCCTTCTGTCATCTCACGCTTGGGCTTCAGATATGAAAGGAAGAATGGATCTGAGGAGGCTTTGATGGAGCAAAGATAATCAGAGCAAGATTCCCAAAATAAAGACACATCTCCAGGACAGGGTTTAGGGTTTGGTGTCTCTCTGTTTCTGGCCCTACAGTCACTTTTTCAATGTCAGCCTTGGAGGAATTTATATTCATTATAAAAGCAGTGATTCCATGTCCCTATACTTTATCTAGTTATTGCTCTTTCTCTTCTTTCCCAATCCTGTTTCCAGAAAGAATTGTTCATACCTCCTGTCTACACTTCCTTGGTTCCAATTCACTCCTGACTGCAGTGGAATGAAGCCTGACCTGGGAAATCTGCCCTGGGTGACCCTGAGCAGGTTAATGAACCACTCCTGCCTCAGTTTCTCTACTGTGACTTCTACACAAGGTAATGCAAGAAAAATGTCTGACATAGTTCCTGGCATGCAATAAACACTAGATCCCCTACCTACCTCTGCCCCTACCTACCTCTGTCCCCACCAGAAATGAAATTTCTCTTCCTAAAAGCACTGGAGACCTAATTGTAAGATTCAATGTTCTTTTTCAGGACTCAATTTACTTTTCTTGTCAATAGTTTAGACCATTCTCAGTTCTTGAAATTCTTATTTTTTCTTATCTTTACATCACTTTTCCCAGTTTTTGCCCCCTGGTTTTTTTCTCTTTTTTCCCCTTTTTTTTTAGGGGGGTAGGTAATTAGGTTTACTTATAGAGGAGGTACTGGGGATTGAACCCAGGATCCTGCGCATGCAAAGCATGTACTCTATCACTTGAGCTATCACTCCCCGCTTCTTTTTCCTTTACATACACCCTAGACTTAGGTGTACTAATGGAATTATGTAGCCATCACCAGAAGCTAACACAACATTGTAAATGGACTATACTTCAATTTTTTTTTAAAAAAGGATCACTATATAGACTATGGAAAGATACCAAAGTGATTACTTCAACATCTTAAGTAGAAATAATGCAATGTAAAATGCCACATGTTAGAAATAGATTTAAAAAAAAAAAGGTTAGGTGCTGATGGTTTCAAGACGGCATTATGGCCACATCACCCAAAGATAATAGAATTTTACCCTTGACTGTGGCCACACCCACACTCACACCCAAAATTCCCCAAGGGAGATAGATACAAAGGGAACATAGCAAATGAAAATTAACATACCATTTGTTATGAGTTCCTTGGTAAGCTGTGTCTGAGCACTGCTTTGGGCTTCTCATCTGAAGACCTCCTCTATCTTCTAGGCATAAAAAAAACTCTTATCTCTGCAGGAGCCACACCAGAGAGGTATTCCTGGTCCTCTGCCTGAGAGGGAGCAGATCTTGGTTTCAGCAGTGAACAAAGAGGCAGCAAAAAGAAAAGAAATTCTCTCTTGGGTGTGCTGGAGCAGGCTCATATTGGTTTGAGAGAAATGATTCTGATAACCTCTTCCCAGCTCTGCATTCAGTGAACTCAAGTTGATAACCTATAATCAGCCATGGTGGGAGTATTTACAATATGGAAATTGGTAAACACTACAAAGATGCCTTCCCATCCCCTAACCTTGCCCAAAGCTTAATGTTAACTGTTTATCAGGACACCCCTGGGAGAGGGCAGAAAACATGCTAGTCTCGCCTATCTACTCTGAGCTGACCACTCTTTCATTATAGGAAGAGAGAGCAATGTCTAGATTCATATCTGCAAAATAATGATGATGATGATGATAAACACTTATTGAACACTTCTAGGTACTGGGGTCCCTGTACCAAGTGCTTCTGATGCATAACATTCATTTACACTCAAATGGTGTAAACATTACCTCTGTTTTACATATGAGGAAACTGAAGATCACGGCAAGTAATCTGCCAAATGTTACACTGCTGGTGATTCTGGACTCCAATCCAGGCAAGGCCTTTCTAGAGTCTCAGCTCCGTCCTCCATGATGACTCCTTCCTGGGAAAGTGGGAAGAGAGGTTGGAAACTTTCATCCCAAACTAGCAGTTGACAGCATGTATTACTATAATCATTACATTTAAAAACATGCGTTCTTGTATATTGTGATACAACTTTCATATAAGATTTTCAAACCTGCAAAATAATACTACATATTTTCATAGATATTTATATATGTGGTAAAAGTGTAAAAACATACATGGAGATAATGTGGGTACATGGCTATTTTTTATGTTACCACTTTTTTTGTGTATTTAAACTATTTCATAATAAAAATTTAATATATTTCTATAGAAGGTAATCAGACTCATTTTATAGTGAGGTTATAGGTAGTTCTGATCATTTATTTAAAAATTTAATATTGTCGTACTATCTTTTTTATTAAAAAAGCTAAAAAAAAAGTACCATGAATGTACCAGGATTAATTTAACTCGTAACTTGTTGATGGATAATTAGGATATTTCTAATTTTCCTCGGAAAGTCCCATAACAAATATACTTGGTATATAAATTGTGGTGTTTTTGATTCTTTCCCTAGGATAAATTTCTAGAAGTTGAATTAAGTGTATATATTTTGAGTGTTTTCAATACAGATTACCGAATTGTCCTCTAAAAGGTTATATCCATCTATATTGGTTTCCAGCAGTAAACTGGACGGTCTGTACCACTCAGTGCTGGCCTACTTGCCCTTATAATGTTTTAAATCTCTGCCAAGTTAATGAACTAAAAAAAAAGCCAAGTTTCTTTGATTATCAGTGAGACTGAAATTTTTTTCTCATGCTTATTGATCATTTGTATTTCTTCTTTTTGTGTCCTGTTTTTCATGTACTTAGCCTGTTTTTCTATCTTGTGTTTGCCTTGTTACTCATTTGGATGAGAACATAGTTCTATACATTGCATATATTTGTTCTAATTCAGTTTGTCTTCTTTATTTACAAATTTATCTTTTTTCTTTTTTTATATGTTACAAAATTAATTGATGCTAAATGTAAAAATAAAAAAAATGTACAACATAAATACTGAAAATTTCCCAGTTCCATCTTCTCAACTTAGTAATTTGGTGTATATTCCTCCAAATGTTTTTTTCCTAGCCATATACTATGAATTACATTTCTTTTCAAGTTTGGAATCATAGTATACATACTGTTTTTAACTTGATTTTTCACTTCCTATATCTTATACATACCTCATTGTCATTACATACTGCTCTGTATCTTCTTAATAGTTGTATTCTATTATGACTATATTGTATTTTTAACATAAAAATTTTGCATTCTTATTTAGTCATATCATCAACTCTTTTTTTATGGCATATTACTTAATTTTTATGCTTAAAAAGAAAGTTTCCAATTTTTTATAGGAATTCTCTGATGGACTATTCAAGAAATTACCCTCATTTTAAGAGACAAGCGATATTATGAAAGAGAAAAGACTACCAACACATCTGTATAAACTATAGTAGTCCGAAAAACTTTGCAAATGAAGGGGAAAAATATTGTTTTGACAAAATAAAATATATTAAAGTGCCTATTTCAAGTGAATAAAGTTCAGAGTACATTACCATTACAGCTGGTCTCAACAGCTAATTTTTAGAAGTTTGAAATATACCAATAATCTTTGAGAGAATTCTTACTTCTCTAAAATACTCAAGAAAAAAGTTTATAATCACTAGGTTAGGTGCTGGGAATGCAATGATGAGAAAACACAAACACACACACAAACACACAATCTCTGCTCTTATGGACTTTACAAACATTATTAAATTATTACACAAATAAATATATAATAACAACCTGCAGTGTGTGCAATGGAAGAAGAGCATAGGGTGGTATGAGATGATTAAGAGGGATCTGTCCTTGGCCTGGAACATCTTGGAAAGCTAACCTGGGATGTGCCTGTTGTGCTGTACTTGGGAGACAAGGATAAGAAGCTGGGATTTGGTTGCTGGTGAGGGGGTGCATTCGGGAGAGAAGAAACTACAGTAGGAGGGACCCTGAAGCTGGAAAGAACCAGAGCCTCAAGCAACACAAGGTCTAACTCAAAGGCCTACAGACAGGAAGGATTGTGCATGAGGAAGAAGCATGCCTCTGCTAAAGTATTTACATTTAAAAATGGTGTAACTACAAGCTAGCCATCAGTTAGCGATCCCTGCTTTACAGGGAATTTGAAAGTCATTAAATGATAGTTGAAGTCCTGAGAGTGTCCTGAACCTGTGTGTTCAAAGAATTCCAGGATTTAAATGCTGGGTACAAGAGAATGACCCAGCAAGTGTTCCTGAGTTGGAGAAAGAAAAGCCAGGTGTGAGCATGATGTTACTAAAGCCCTGAGAAAGAGGACTTCTTAAGGAGGAGGGAGTGAGCACTACTAAGAAATCAAAGACAATGAGGATTGAAAAAATGTTCATTGAATTTCACAACACAGAGGTCAATGACCTTCACAAAATGCTAACCTTTGTGCTCATATTGTATAATGAGTCTCACGCATCTTCTGGATTGTCTGTGTCTTTTGCCCGGGACGGGTGTGGGCTGCTTTATATCCAGCACAAGGTCCCGGAGATTCAGCCACATTCTAGCAACAACCAGTATGGTGTTATAAACAAGAAGACCACTGTTTTGACAAGGCATTACCACATACTTTGATGTCAGAGAGACTCAACTAGGCTCATGTTAAAAAACAGAAGCATGCATTTCTTGTGTAATGCTGTATAGGTAGGTATCTGATAAATTTAGATGTTCAGAACCAAAGTTCTATGAGATGTACTATTGCCTTTACTTAAGACAAAGAAAGTGTGTTGAAATTACAGGAATCTACCAGCTATTGAAAACTGTAATAGAAAACTATTGTACCCTTAGTTGTAGAAATGTTCTAAAAAAGGTCTCATAGAACAGGGTGAGAGTAGTTTTCTAAATTGAAATTATAAGACTTTATTGTCATAACTGACAGTTTTCAAAATAAAAACAAAGCAAATAATGATTAGTGAACTCAACAGAAACTTTCCAAAATAAATAGTTTCTACAAATCAAGTTCTCTTAAACAATTGCAAGTATTAATACACTATTAGTCTTTACCTGAATGAATCATTTCTTAAGGCCCTCATAAAGTGACTCTTCATCAAGAATAAACTTCTATATGTATGGAAAGTAAATATAGAAAACCATTAACGGAATTGAATATAAATCATTATTAAAATATCAAAACAGAACACTACATTTCATAGTATACGTAATGATTTTTAAAGCTCTAGTGAGGCATACTCTAAAATGTAGGTTAACAACACACTAACTTTAGTCATACAATATACTTAAGATCATTATATTAAGATAAATTATATATGATTGATATATAAATATATATACATATATAATTTTCTCTCAGGATTTTAGGAGAATATTTGTCATGGTTAATTCTTTCTACATTTTACTTACAAATTGAGAACTTTAATAGACAATATATTTGATATTAAGTAGTTCAATAGGACAATCATATATGCTGACTTTTATATACATTATTGCATTTTTGAAATCAGTAATTTCCAATAACCTCAAAAGTATTAAAATAAAGGAAATTTCTTCTCCCTTAAATCTTGGACCCTATTATCAGATTAGTCTTCCTAAAATTCTGCTTTTATCTAGGTAGTGCTACATACATAATTATTCCGTAGCTTCCCGTTTCCTTTATTCTGACACTTCATTCTGACATTCAAAACTTTCTACAATTTGGCCTCAAACTTTATTTCCTGTTTGAGGACTCAATATCAGTGAAGTTCATTCTCACCCTGAACTTGTGTTCTTCACCTCCGATGTTCTTCCTCTTTCTGGTCTTCAAATCCTATGATTTATAAAGGTTCTATTTGACTCCCACCTCCCCTGTGAAATCTTCCCTGATGTTTCTGATGCCTTCCTCTGATCTTGTCTTCACTGCTCACGTTGACTCTTAAAAAACCGCTATTACGTTCTATTACTGAGCTAGTTCATGCTTTTGAGGCTTGCCTCTTTGACCAAATGGGAAATTCCTTGATTAGTGTCCTTAGTGTCTAGTGCAATCCTGAGGATAAAATTATAAGCATATGCTAATATCATCTTAATTACATCTGATATTTAACTTTATTCTTATAATTTTTCTTTCCATCTACAGAAAAAGCACAACTTAAGGCCAAGTTTTCTGGTGCTTAAGGGTCTCTCATTCTCTCCCAAAGCTAACTGATCTTGGGGTTTGCTCCATTTAATGCATGATCTTCACTGTGCAACTGAAATATATGAAACCTGGAATTTTCTTCAAACCAAGGATGAATTCCTTTAATTTCATCAAGTCTTAGGTAAGTTTCTGTCTTTTGTGATAAATGAAATTTTACCGGTATTTCTTCCTTTTGATGGAATATCTTGGATGTTCAGTCAATTTCTCTGAAACTGTAGAGCTTTAAAAAAAACACTGCAAAGTCTTTCATTGAGTGAGAAGGTTTTTCCTTTTCCTCTCCTTTCCCTAAGTACAAGGAAGGAGGTACATCAGAGGAAAGATACATGCTTTTTAAAAGGCTGCCCTGGGCTGGGTGTAGAAAAGCAGAAATTATGGTATTGGCTTCACCTCATGCATAGGCAGTTTAGCTCTGCTTAAGACTATCATGCTTCAGCCTTACATTTACCAACCCAAAGCAACTGTTACCCAAAACCCAGCATGGTTTTCTTGTTCCATATAGCAGTAGCAACCATTTATTAAGTACCTCCTATATGTCAGATACCATGTTGGTTGCTTTTTATGTTCCCTAATTTTCATCATGATCCCTATTTTACAGAGAAGACTGAGGCTTAGAGATGCTAAGTAATTTGAACAACTAGTAAATGGCAGAGCTAGACTTTGGGTGCAGAACTGATTCCAAAGTCTCTGATCTTTTTGCTACACCTTGCAATGTCAGTGCCTTGTATTGTCACGAATTCTCGTTGGGAAATGTTGGGCCTTGCATTCATGAGTCTGGCAGCTATTGGAAGGGAAGGACAGAATAATAAAGAAATGTTCCAGTGTATCCAAGGAGGCTCACCAGCACCCCTCTCCTGCACACAATTGCTCCAGTCTTAATTATCAGATGTGTCCCACTCTGACAATTTACATTTCAGTGTACACCAAATTTGGCACTGTCCCTTTTATGGAACATGTGATCACATGTCTTGGTAAGTGGAAGGAAAGCTGGCAGATTTTACCTTTGTCAAGACTCAGAACAAAAACAACAGCATGAAATAAATCACAATTAAAAATATATATATGTGTATATGCATACGTATTTCAAATGTGTAACATTAGAAATTCTACCTGTAAAAATATATTCGTCACAAAACACAAACTTAAGACTATGTCTCTAGTCTTACTGCTGTGCAGACATATGAATTCCAATCTTCAGCTGTTAGTTTACTTATTTGAAGAATAGTCAATAGAAGGAAATTCCAGTGTAACAAGAATTTTGACAATCCCTCATTGTTATCTCTAATGGGATCTAGTTACATTGTGCTTTTCCAGGAAGGATGTAGCTGGTTATATAGTTTTAATCCAGCAGTTACTCTCTTTCTCTAGTCACACTATATGTGGTGATTCCCTGGTTGCTGTTTTATTAGAACCAAGGGAGGAGAGAGAGATTCTTCTTCCTTTTCTATTTTTCTACACTTAAGAGAGTTTAATATACAATGTTCTCTTAGTAGTTGATTTTTTAAAACAGTCTAGGGATTTCTATGCATATTTAATCAGTGTTTTACATTTAGTTGGGCAGTTTATTAGTTAGTATCTACCACCAACCAGATACATATAAATATGTATTACACAATTACACAAGGATAATTTGTAATTTATGAATTATTAACCTAATTTTCACTCTTGTATCATTTTAATATTAGGGTATGCAAAATGTTTCTACAAGTCAGGTGTTTTTTTTACAAAATGACCCTAATTTGGTAGGAGACTGGGGTCCCGTTTTCGTTGGCACTGACAGTTTCTGTGCTGTAGAAACAATCTACACCTGAAATCTGACTTTGCAGTCTCAGCTCTGCCTCTTGTTTTTTACCTTGGAGAAATCATTTCATCCGTTTCCTCACCTGTAAGATGAAGATCATAATTTCCATCCCACAGTATTCTTATGAAGACAAAATGACATAAATATAGGAACTGTTCTACAAAGGCAAAATTGGGTTTAAGGGAGATGCACACAAACTGGGTTTAAGGGACCCCAGGCATGGCAAGCACTTGGACATCTCAGAAGGGGTGGGGAGAGTTTTTTGGTTTTGTTTGTAATAGGACTTGAGCCAAGTACTTATTAGTCACCAGGCCTAAGTACTATTTCTGATAGGCCTTGAATACCTTGCCCTCAAATTCTACTTCCAAAGCCCACACTTCCCCAACTGGGGGCGAACTCAACAGCAGAGCATTCTGTGATTTTTGTCCTTGCTTCACTTTCCCCCAAATTGCAAGTTTTGGAGTAGCCATTCCTTTTCCTTTATAAGTATTCTTGGAACTGGTCATTAGTAAGTGCTTAATGAGTCTGATATTAGACAAGGTCCCTATGGAGGTGGCTGGAAGTCAGAATAGTGAGTCAGCGTAGCGGCAGATAATTTAGAGCCACATTTAAGTTCTTTCTCTGTAAAGGAACGGGCAATGGTATTTTCCTTAAAAAGAAATCTTGATTGGGTAGCCAGTGTTCAGCCTATTGGGTAGCTAGTGTTCAGCCTAAAGTCTGCAAGGTTGCTGAGACAATAAACCTTATTTTGGTTGTGCTCTGGCTGGAGCCGCTGGCTCGAGCCCTGGCGTTGGTCCCAACACGAGTGCCCGTCCCACCCACCCTGGATTGTGGGGTGCGGGGCAGACAGTTGTCTCCGTCCCCTCAAGCCGCTGTGGCCGGGCTTCTGGTCCAGAGAGATGCAGATGAAGCGGTGTGAAGGGTTGGGCTTTTTTTTGTTCCTGAAAATGCAACGAACAAAAAAAAAAGTACAACAATCCAAACCCAACCATCTCGTTGCGCGCCGACTTTCTTCCCAGGCGGCTCCACCCGGGACGACACCGCCTGCCGTTGCCCGCGCTCGATCCAGGCCAAGCCCGCGGGTCCGCGCGATCCACATCCGCTTCCAGGCGCCGCGGGCACGGCGCTTCGCGGGCGCGCGCAGCCCCTCTGAAAGGCAGAGAAGCGCGCAGCTCGAGACCCTCCGCTCTTCCAGGCGCACCGCGGGTGGTGGCGGTTGTCTGTGGCGGTTGGAGACACCGGAAGGACTCCCGCCTTCTCTCACCCACTCCCTCCCCCAGGGAAAGGGAAGAGCCGGGAGGCGGAACAAAGGCGAAGCCTGGCTGGGGAGGAGGACCGAAGTGCCGGGGGAGGAGGGCGTTGGGGCGGGGCCCGGTCAGCGCCGCGAGTCCATTTTGCAGCCGTTCCCGGCGCGTAACGCGCGGTGTCGGCGGCTGGAGGACTGGTCGTTGCGCGGCTCCGGGCGGGTCCCCTCCAACGACCCCAGGTCCGAGATAAGTACCCGCCGCCCCGGCTCTTCAGAGGGAAGCGGGGGTGGCGACTTGCCCTGGCTGGGCAGGCACCTGCGTGGGTGGGGGGCTGGTGGAGAGCTCAGTCTGCGCTCGAGTCCCAGCAGCACAGCAGAAAGCTGCTGGGCACTGGAACAGGGGTGGGGAGGAGCGGCGCGCGGGTGGGCGGCCGGGCAGGGCGTTTAGACTCTGGCAAACCTGCTCCGCTACCGAACACGCCCGGCTCCACTGCCAGCGCCTCGGTATCGCCTACTGAAAGAAAAGGCGACCGTGAACCAGAGTCAGCACGCTACCGCTCGCTGGCATTGAACCTGGGGAGGCTGCCTGGCGCCGGAGGAGGGCGCTGTAACCGATAAGCTCCTTAGCACAAAGATCTTCAGCCTCTGCCATGATGTTGGCTTTTTCACCTGGTCCTAGCAGGCTGGCTTTTGATTTATGGGGGATGACTGAAAAAAATTGAGGGTCAAGACTAAGGGTCTTGCCCAAATGAATGCATAATAACGCTCTATCTTTGTTTTTTCCTCGCAGTAGCCTCATTTGATTACCAGTCACGACGTGAAAACAAAACAAAACCGAAACCTGATTGCTTTGCTCTGGGAAATAGTAACCCTGACCCATACACCTGCTTTCAAGGGACAGAGGTAAACTACAATACTTTTCCCTACGTCCTAAGAAAAAAGAAAGCACTCAATTTCTTTAGGCCCAGAACCTTTACAAATTGAACTATGTGTAGAATATGTGTTCCCATCCTCGCAGATGGTCTTTGTTCTTTTCATATTTTGTCAAAACTCGGAAAAATAGATTCTATACTTGGAAATTCTTTCTGTGGCAATTATTTGAAATATATTATAATCCAAAGATTTATATTGTAAAGGAAAAGAGGCTACAGTAGCATTTTTTAAATATTTTTTTTTCCTTCAAGCCACCTTGCCAGGGCTTGTACAACAGGGCTTGCAGAACAGGGCTTGCATTTTCTGACTCTAGAGACCCTTATATAATACGTATTTTAGAAGCAAAATTTCATTACATAGCCACTCCCTCTGGTAGCACTTGATAGAGCTGTTGTTGATTAACTGGTTATACTTCTGTCTTGAACAATGAGAAGATGTATTTCTTCTAGTTCGTCTATCTTTCCCTAAAAATGCCATCTTTTTTTGCATCAGCAGACGTACTAAGCTTCCCTGGCAAGTCCTTCCATAACACCAGGTTATTTTCATTCTTACATTTATTGGTTATCTGGTCTTACTTCTGCTGTAGCTATTGTTCAGACATGCCCTTTTCCATCAGTGTGTTTTATACCTGCTGTGATACGTAATACTTTGCCTGCCCTTGAAATTAACAGTTCAAGAGCATCCAGCTCTCTTTTAGGACCTTTCTTGGTTAGTACGCTCATGCTTTTAACATAAAACTGTAAATGTGTATTTATAGTTTTCACAGTATCTGTATACATACTTACTTAAACCACCTTACATTTATGTAGTTCAGCAGTTTACAAAATTGTCACACGTTACTTAATCTTTCCAAGAACACTATGAGGTAGGTACCATAAAAATCATTCGACAAAGGGCAAAACTACTGTTTGAAGCTAGGTGTTAAGACACCGGTTCAGTGCTCTGTACTCTTCACAGGAGAACCTGTTACAACCTACTTTGTAAAAATTACAGAATTTTAGAAGGCAATTAGAGAGCCCATGATTAAACTACTCCATTTGTTGAATGAGGATACTGAATTCTTGACCCACTTTCTGGATAGTGCTAAGGTCTAAGAATTGGGAAACTCAGGTTGTATGCCTTCCTTGCTCTATATGATTTGTGGTGGCTTTTTTTTTTCCACTTATAAAGTTAGGTGTTTAGCTAGATGATCTCTAAGATGTTTTTAAGCCCAGTACTTCTGTTTTATTTCTACCTCATAACTTTAGCACCATATAGTCTCTCTATATTGGTAATATACAGACACATACTAATATTAACTGCCTTAAATTGTTTTCTATTTTAAACTTGGGTAAGTATGGTTAAAAAAAGTATGCCTTTCTCTTTTTTTTTTTTTTACTAAGCTCTGTAAAAGTATGGTTCTGTTGTAAGGTCAGGAACTGCATGGAGAGGTAGAGCACTCATATGTCACTGGTCAGAGTTCAGAAAGTGGTATACCCTTTCTAGAGGGAATCTTGGCAGTCTTTTCAAGAGCCTTCAAAATGTTTCTACTCTTTGACTCACTTAACAATACACTTAAAGGAATCATCTAAGGCACTAATTAGAGTGTTGGACTAAGACTTTTCTATGGGGTGTTCATTAAAATGTTATGATCCCCACAAAACAATCAATAAGGAATAGCATATCCATGAGATAGACATTTGTTTTAGAAGTTATAACAACAGGGGAAATGCATATAATAAAATAAGTGAAAAGTGGATATAAAGTTGTATTATGCAAATAGTTTTGTTAAAATATGTGTGTGCACAAACATACACACATAGAATTGGAAGAAATATACTAAAATAGTAATAGTGGCTATTCCTTGCCGATGTGATTATTGGTAATTTCTCCCTGTATTCTCTGAATTCTTTCTAATCACATTACTTTCATAATTTAGGAAAAAGAAAACCCAATTGCATGGATAACCTCTCCAACTTCAGTATGGTGTCAGCTTTCTATGTCCTTTTATAAGGCATTTCTCACACCTTTTAAAGTCACAATATCTTTGTAGTTTTGCTATATTTCTGAATTTAGGGCAGGAATTGACTTGGCTTATATTTCACCTTTTTAAATATATCATTGCATTATCCATTTTTGTTGTTCATGAAAGACACTGCCATTGTCATTACCTTGGCTTGGGACTCTAGATATTAGAATGGTACTAGAAGAATAGTACTTGTAACAGTTAACAAGAAAAAGGTGTCCTCTGACACACAGAATAGTTACATTCCAGTTAAGCCTTCTATAAAGCAAATTCCCATAATGTGAATTTTCTAATTCATTTCCATTGTAGATGTAGATACATTTCTAAGAAAAAGTTGAACTGAAAATTTTTGCTGATAGCTCAAATTACTGTCTTTCCTATGGCATAAGCATCACAAGTATATCCTACTTGGCAGTAGCCTGGCTCCTCACTTAAAACTCCCAGAAGAGCTCTTCCTTTCTTCCCCTGCATATGTGCAGTATTGGATATGAGGAAGGAGTGCTAACATAGTACATAGACTGTAGCCGACCAAAAAAACTGATTAAAGTTTAGCATAATTAGATTTCTGCTTGGAATATTTTCTAGATCGGGTTTACTTAGAATAAAATGTGTATATAATTCTGCACTGAGCAAAAGGAACTTTGTTCATACCAATTACATTTCCATCTCAGAAGTAAGTTCTTGTTAGTTGGTAGGTAATACTTACCAGTTATCCATTAAATACCTATTTTCACTTTCCACAGTATTACATGCTGTTTACTTCACTTACCTAGATAGATCTAGCTTGCCAGCTACGGAATGCTAGACTTTGACAGTACTTTCTGCAAGCTGGAATTAACTTCAAATGCAGGTAGGTGATGAGAACTTTTAATGGATACCAACCTGTTGGGGATAATAATTTAGGTTAATGATTGCTTAGTATATTGTTGTGAAAGAAGACAGTTTGTTCAAGGGGTAAACATTTTGCCACCTTCATTTAAACCTATTTACATTTATTTGGGAGGAAAGAAACCAGACATTTCTGGTTCATAAAAGTTTTACAGAAGTCAGTAGTTCCAATTTAAATTAATTCTAATTCTTTAAGTCAAAGATAAACAGTCTGTGTTTGGTTGGTACCAGACTAGGAAAATAATTTAGGCTATATATGTTTCCTTCAAATTCAGATACTTATTTCATTCAAATTGATTTCATCTGGGTGGGGAAGAATGGGATTCAACATCATTTATTTAGTATCTTCATAGATTTCTCAGTAGTTGTAGATCAGGATATCTGATCTAACTGGAACCCCAAAACTATTGATTAATGCTGTGGATTTACAGAATTACAGAATAACATCTTGTGTGACTTATCAAGTGACTCAGGAAAAACAAAGGAGGGAAAGGAAGATAAGAAGGGTAGAGAGGCATGTGGGAGATAAGGAAGGAGTAAGAATAAAATCAAAAGATTATATTCCTTAAAACAGTATGCGGAAGATGAGTTAAAAGACTAAAAGGAAAGAGGAAAAAAACAACAACAAAGGAAAGAGTCAAGGCAAAATAATGGCACAGAGAAGAGACTGAAGGAAAGGGAAAAAAATTTTTTTTCCTGAATTTGTCTGGACTAGGAAGATAATATTCTAGTTTTTATGTTTTTGAGAATGTAATCTTAGTCCAAAAACTCTTTGTTAGCTTTCTCAGTAGGTGGGCCGTCCAAGCTGCTGAACCTTCTGTACTAGGTTTATTTTGCTCTCGTCAGGAATCCTACTAGAAATACCTTGCGGGGAATTTAAACTACTACTTACTCTAGGATAATTCCAGAAAGGATAATTTACTTATATTTCATATGGACACAGAGGTAACTTTTATATTGTGTTTGCAAGGGCCACATAACAATCAGATAACCTATTTTAGATACTATATGTGATACAGTAATTTTAATATTCCTTTTTTATCAGAAATCTTGTCTTTATTAAATCTCACTTTATCCTGTTTTGATCATGTAAGATTTTTGGAACAGTCTCTAAAAGCCAGAATGAAGTGTTAATAACACATTGATATAGAGTACTTAAAAACTTTGTAAATAATTTTCATATATTTAGATATCTTTCACAATGTTTGTACAATGAGGAGAAAAACTGTATTTTGTGTAAGTAGTTTGTCAAAGATCATAGATCGAGAGCCAAACAAGTATGTCGGTCTCCTCACAGGCTTAGATCCAGAGATTTCCAATAATACATTTTTTATTTTATAAAAGATAAAACAATAGAAGTTTAAAAAATTTTATAAAAGATAAAACAAAGAGCAAATTGAGCTCTTCTTATAGTTAGCTAATGTTTCTAAAGTTTTACTTTTTTAGCACAATATGGTTTTCATATAATTAGTTCCCATCTTTAGTTTTTTTCCCAACTTTGTATTGTGGAAATTTTCAAATATACTGAAAAATTTAAAAAATTACTACAGTAAATATCCTTAAAAGCTCTACCTAGATTCAGTAGTTGTTAATAGAGTCTTAGCAAGTTTCAAGAAAGCATTATTAGTGGATCTCATACTAAAGTAGAATACAGTATACTGCTTGAAAACAAGATGAACTAGTATGATGAGCAGAAATGAGGTTTTAAAAAGGTGAGCCCTTTTATTCTAAGAATTGTTCCAAGATAACGTTGATAGCTCTCTGTTTAGTAGAGCTCACGTAATTGAGTTTTGTCTATGAATTGAGATTCAGTATTTGCTGTCTAGTTACTTGTTAGGTATTTAGATACTGCTTTGAAATTCCTGAATTCAGAGATACTTCAAAGCAGGATGGAAATTTGGTTTAAATCCCTCAGATACAAAGTATAATATATTGGCTTTTCTTTTTGTTTTCTAATGGGATTAGGGGAAAAAATCATGGGTATTATTTTGAACTATATGATATTGCTATAGACTAATGAAATTCGAAGATTTAACTGGGAAGTTTCTTTTAATAAATAGGTTTTATTAAAATTAACTTTTAACAGTGAATAAAATGAGCACCTTTTGAGTTATAACCATTTGGAGTTGATCATTTAAAAACCAAAGGGCTTCCAGAAGGGAGAAGTCATAGATACTAGCTTTTACTTCTATCTTATGATTCCTTTCCTAAGTGTTGGCTTTTCCATTTTTAATATTCTAGTTGTTGGTTTTCATTTGTAGAGACTGTTGTTACTATATACTCAATCAAGGTAGGATTAATAAGTTCTTGTAGTCTTCCTTGAATGTGGATATCTTGGAAGTTTGCCTAAAAATAAATCTGTGGTGGTGGTATACAACTGTGCATTTGTCCAAACTCATAGAATGTGTACCAAAAAGAGTGAGTTATATTCCACATAAAAAGTATGGTTTAAAGTATAAATATGGTAGGAAAATTAAGTTGAAAACCCAAGAGGTGGTAGACAACTGTTTTCTTTGTTGGTATAAACTTGAGGAAAGTTTTAATTGGCGGAAAAATACATTTTTATGCTTCAAAATTTAGACTTGATATTCAGAAACACATTTGAAGGAAGAAATGAACCTTGGAAAACTTGTTTGCCTTTATGTACTTAATTTGACATTGGTTAAGTTGAAATTTTATGACTGGTGAACAATAATTTTGTTCCCATAAAGTTTCTTGACCTCTATATTCGGTAAAAACTTGTCCCCCAAAAGAGGGAATATGTACTTTAGTTTCTTCAAAGGAGTAAGCTCAATTGATTTATTTAGATTTTTATGTGTCAGCCACACTTTAAGAAAAGGATCTATAAGTTCTTTTACTGTGAAGCATACCCTTCACTTAGTGAGATAAAAACTTTATTTATTATGTATTCTCCTTTAAAACTTTTAAGCAATGGACTTGCCGTGGTTTCTTGGGTTGTTAGGTTAATATATTTTAATTTTCCCTAAAAGTCAGCTGTGGAAGTGGTCACATAGCTTTGTCAGAGAAAGTTCTGAGTATAAAGCTAAGAAAAGAAGAGAAAAGGAAATAGTGTTTAGTTTTAAAGTAAATGAAAAATGAGAACCTTTAAATTATAAACATTAATTTGTAAGTTATATCACTAAAAATGGAACAGGATCTACCATAATTTTGATGCAATTTAAAAAAATGTCTAAATTCTCCTATATGTGACATTTTCTTTTTTATTTCTGATCATACTGGAGTGCCTTAAAATTCGTGGCCCCTCTTGCAGTGTCCTTCTCAGTTCTCCTCAAAGTTTCTCTTTGCCTTGTGTGCCCCTTTCTCCTTCTCATGCCAAATACTTGGAATCCTTCGTTTTTCTTCTCACTTATTTAATGCTTGGATAGGATTCTCTGGAAATACTAACCTTGCAAGGATGAGTAAATTAGGTTTGCTTTATTGAATGCTGCCCCCATTACTTTTGTGTTTCTACTGTTTCATCCAAAGTCTAGCCTTAGCATAGAATTCTTAGGTAAAAGATGATAGAGAGCAATGGAGGTGATGCAGTATAGAACTAGGACTGGGGATGGAGGATCATCAGAAGTGTTCCTTCTTTGTTCTAAAGGATCAGAATGTTTTAAGGCAGTTCTTTTTAGCACACTGACCTCAGTCTCTATAGCCATTCTCTTCCTAGTGCTTTTTCCCCCCAATCCTTTTTTGGTGGGGAGGAGGTAATTATGTATGTTTATTTATTATTTAATTTTTTAATAGCAGTACTAGGGATGAATCCAAGACCTCGTGCATGCTAAGCACACACAATACCACTGAGCTATACCCTCCCCCACAAAGTAGTTACAAGGGAATCTACATCCCAATTCTTTTTTTTTTAAAGTAGAGGTACTAGGGGTTGAACCAGGACCTCATGCATACTAAGCATGTGCTCTACCACTGAGCTATTTCTCTCCCCTCTCTGATGCTTTTCAAAGGTTGTATGATTTCTCCTGTCACAAAAGATTTCTCAGAAAAATAAGCTCATTACACGTTTTTGCCATATGACACTAAATTTGACAGAATACTCTTTGCTTTAATTCTATATATATATGTATTATACATTTGTTACACATGTATCTCTCACAATGTAAAACCATAAAGTAATTAGTCCTGCAAGCTCAGCTTATCTTTTAAATACGATTTATCTTGTAGATTGTAGCTCCAATTGTGATTCTTAAAATTACTGTTAAAAATTTATTTTCTTTTGGTTATAAGGATGGCTCATAGATTATTAGACCCTATTTTATTACTTTGGTGGTCATGTGATATATATACATATTTATGTATATATGTGTATATATATCCCTCAGTAAACTGAATGAGGACATATTTAGCACTATTTTGGGTTTTAAAACTTTAGGAATAAAAGTTTTAAAATGTACATTTTAAAAGAAGAAACTTGCATTGGAGAAATGGTATTCTCTAGCTCAGAGATCTCAAATATTTGGCTCACAGGACCCCTTTACACTCTTAAAAATGGAGGCTCCCAAGAGCTTTTTTTATGTGTGTATTATATATACTTACTGTATTAGAAATTAAAACAGGAAATTTTAAGATAATTCACTTTAAATAACAATGATAAACCTATTACATGTTAGCATAATTTGTGAAAAATAACTATTTTTCAAAACACAATTGTGAAAAGGGCGGCATTGCTTTATATATATTTATAGATCTCTTTAATGGATTGCCTTTATCTGCCTCTGCATTACACCTGTTGCAGTAAGTTATCTGGGTTGAAATACAAAGAAAATCAAATCTGGCCTTGCCACAGATACGTAGTTAGTGAAGGGAGGAATATTTTAATAGCTTTTTCTGATAACTGTGGATCTTCTTTGATACTATACCAAAACTCTACAAGTGGTTGTTTCTTAAAAGTTAGTTGCAGGATAGAATCTGAAGTCATGTTTTTGAACATACTGGTCTTTTGATCTTTTATTCATGCATGATTTATAACATGCACTGGTGATTTGAGCCAGTTAGTTCAAATAGTGACTTACGTCATTATACAATGATCTCCCCCCTAAAAAAACCAAAATCCACATTTGTTAATATCATCACTTATTTTGTTAGAAAAGTCTTTAATTAATGGTAAGCTATCATGCTCTTAAGTGACAAAAATCCAGTTTTCACTAAAAATTCAACATTTGTCATTGGCAACAAATAGTGTCATTTGTTTTCCTTGAAGCAGTGGGCTCATTTTGTTCATTGTCAAGAAAAAGTTTGTCAGATATCTAAGTCTGAACAGCCATTGTCATTCGTTCTTTTACGTAAAGGTGGTGTTCCATGAAGAAAACAGCTGGTTCAGCTTGCAGCTCAATCACCTAACTGCTTTTCCCCCAGACAGTATCTGCTAGTATACAGTAGAAATGCTTTGTGTTTATTTCACTTTGTCACACAAAATATTAAAAAGACATGTATACAAGGATCAAGATGTAATAAAATGAACAATTTTTACTGCTTCATCAAGAACATTCTCAGATGAAACTGGCTACCCCACCCCTGCCCCACTGTGGGTGTGTGGTGGTGAAGAATACAAAGACCAGGAGTCCAGTTTGGTGCTACCTATTGCCTTGTTTGAATCCTGTTAAGGCTCCAGCAGTGTCTGCTCACCATTGCTTTTCCAATGCATTGTCAACACAGTGCTGAAAGTAAATAACAGCCCAGTGTTACTATGAAAATAGTACTGTCCTCATGGATGCCCTGGAAGAGTCTTAGGGACGCCCAGGTTTCTGCCCGCCACATCTTGGAGGACTGATTTCTCTAGATGGCACAAGATGGCTTTAATTACTGTTTCTGTGGTTTTAAAAAATACTCATTTAATTCTCTAGGGAAGAATTAATTATAACTCTCTCATTTTATGTTCTTACCTCTGATTTTAATAATTCTAATTTTGCCTTTGAAATAGGAAAAAAGCTAGTTTTTAATAAAAGTCTACATGAAAGTACACACTTGAATTTATATTTCTGTGCTTCTTTCTTTGAATAGCATACCATTTCATAATTGTGGGCCCAAACTAAAGAGCTCATTCTGTTCAGACACTGAGTAGCTTTGTTTCTGACAGCTAGTAGTCAGCTCTGTTTTAAAACAAGCAGTTGGGCCCTGCTGGCTCAACTTGCAGTCATCCTAGTCCTAACCCTGTCTCAGCCAAAGACTGTTGTTGGAAAGCCCACACAAAGGCCTTGTGTACAGGGAGCCCTGCTAATAAGGAGCTTTGGTTGCATTCCCTTCCCAAATTTTTCACTTGTTTCCTTTGTTTGGTTATTTCAGTGAAAGATCATTTTTAATGCCTGTGAAGATAGTTCCTTCTAATTATTCCATAGTCCAAGTGGAGGGGAGTACTGGAGTAAAATAAAATGTTTCTTTTTCTCTGGTAGGAGATGTGATGGAGCTGCTTGAAGAAGATCTCACGTGCCCAATTTGTTGCAGTCTGTTTGATGATCCTCGAGTTTTGCCTTGCTCGCACAACTTTTGCAAAAAATGCTTAGAAGGGATCTTAGAGGGGAATGTGCGGAATTCATTGTGGAGGTCATCTCCATTCAAGTGCCCCACATGCCGGAAGGAAACTTCAGCTACTGGAGTCAATAGTCTGCAGGTTAATTACTCCCTGAAGGGTATTGTGGAAAAGTACAACAAGATCAAGGTCTCTCCCAAAATGCCAGTGTGCAAAGGACACTTGGGGCAGCCTCTCAACATTTTCTGCCTGACCGATATGCAGCTGATTTGTGGGGTCTGTGCAACTCGTGGTGACCACACCAAGCATGTCTTCTGTTCCATTGAAGAAGCCTATATTCAGGAAAGGGATGCCTTTGAGTCCCTCTTCCAGAGCTTTGAGACCTGGCGTCGGGGAGATGCTCTTTCTCGTTTGGATACCTTGGAAACTAGCAAAAGGAAATCTCTACAGTTACTGACTAAAGATTCAGATAAAGTAAAGGAGTTCTTTGAGAAGTTACAGCACACATTAGATCAAAAGAAGAATGAAATCCTGTCTGACTTTGAAACCATGAAACTTGCAGTTATGCAGGCCTATGACCCAGAGATCAACAAACTCAACACCATCTTGCAGGAACAGCGAATGGCCTTTAACATTGCTGAGGCTTTCAAAGATGTGTCAGAACCCATCATATTTCTGCAACAGATGCAGGAGTTCAGGGAGAAAATAAAAGTAATCAAGGAAACTCCTTTGCCTCCATCTAATTTGCCTACAAGCCCTTTAATGAAGAACTTTGATACCAGTCAGTGGGAAGACATAAAACTGGTAGATGTGGATAAACTTTCTTTGCCTCAAGACACTGGCACATTCATCAGCAGGATTCCTTGGAGCTTTTATCAGTTATTTATGGTAGTCGTTCTGCTTGGCCTCCTTGTCTTCTTCAGTCCTACCATATTCCTAGAATGGTCTTTATTTGATGAAATCGCAACTTGGAAAGACAGTCTTTCAAATTTCAGTTCCTATCTGACTAAATCAGCTGATTTTGTAGAACAATCAGTTTTTTACTGGGAAGAGTTGATGGATGGGTTTTTCATTTTCAGTGAAAGACTGAAGAATTTTACTTTGGTGGTGCTGAACAATGTGGCAGAATTTGTGTGCAAATATAAACTATTATAAAATCTGTTTCAAGTACATAGTGCTGTGTCTTTTGTTAGAAATTTGTTAGAATACAGCATGATAGTTCAGATTTGGTCAAGATTCCAGTCAGATCATTTTCCTCCAAAAGTATTCCTTTCAAAAAGAATGTCCTACACATGTTGAAAATTAGGTAGCATAAAGATAAAAATGAAAATTAATAGTTTAGTCCTGAACCCTCCTTCCTCCTTTTTAAACTGCTTTTGAAATAAGCACCCTACCCCCAATATTGGCTGTGTTTATGCTGTGGAAAAAGGAGGTGGAAGGGCACGAGACTTAGTATTGTATTGATGAGTGGCGTAATAATGATTGTTCTTAAGCATGTAATAAAGACTACTCCTGTAAAGCAACTTTATTTTGAGAGTGAACATTCTTTTGAAAAGGAATCATATGTGGATAGATTGAATTTCCATCTTTTTCTGCAGAGAGTTGATTTCCTTTTTCAGTACAATGTATATCTCATGTATACAGAAAGGCATTTTCTTATTCTAAACTTACATTTTTAGGAGGGCGGGGATTTCAGCTTGCCTTTTATCTGCTTAGGTTTTGTAAATGTATCACCAAAGGAATTTGGTGATAAACTATAAGTGTTAGGTGGCTTTGCAAGCAGAGGCATGGGTAAGAAAAAATGTCTCATACATGGCAAGAGCAGAAAATGGGAAAGCCTCCTTTTTACTGGCAGCTAAGTGTTGTTCCAGAGAATCGTGGTAACTGTACAACCAACCAATCCACTTGTTTAAAAAATTTAAGAGCAAATTTCATCTAATTTGACAATAGATGAAATAATCTATCAGCTATTATAAAGTACACAGTAATCAGCTAAATTCAAATGCTGTCGTATCTACTCACATGAGATAAAGATGCCTGACATCCCACAGAACAAAAATACCTAATTTTATTACCCTGTATAGAATTCAGATGAAAACAAGAAGTGGCCTTATCTTAGAACTGCTTTCAGTCAACCTCATTTCTGTCATGGGACAAGACATTCCTTTGAAAGCCGAGACTGTCTTTACCCTAGTCCATTAATTGGTTGAGAGGAGGTAACACAAGCAGGGACAGGGAAAAAAGGTGGCGACTAAACTTAAAAGTACAGAAGAATCATTCTAGCTATGAGAAGAAGAGTCGAATTAAGCTGCTAGTTGAGGTAATGGCTGCCTCACTCCCAACTGACAATTCATGACTGAACCACTAAATTGCTAAAGGGATCATAAGAAATTAAGACAATGTTTCTCTGTAAATCTTAACTCTGCCATGAGGACTTGTAGATAATAGACCTGGGGAAGAGGAATGCTTTTCTGCTCCCAGTATTTTTTTTTTTAAATACAGATTTACAAGAGGAAGTTTTCATGAAGAATTTTTTTTAATGGGATACAGTAAAGGAATCTATTTAGACACTTGTCCTCAGATGTTGGCAGTTTTCCTTAACTATCCAGTTCCTCCTCTGTTGCTTTTTCATTTTGTATACTACAAGTTCCCAAGCAACTCCCAGATTTATAAACATAGCTATGGATACACTATTTGCTTTACAGCAGTTACCTGGAAATCTAGGTCTCTGTTTTTGTTACCTTCCCCTTCCCTACATTTCTTAATCATACATAACAACATTTGTGGTTATAGGTTGATTAACAAGTTCCTAAGTCTATGGCTTATGATTTGTAGCCTCCAGTTTGAAGCAAGAGAAGAATGAGTAGTCAGGAACTGGTTACTTTGAACGTTGGAGGCAAGATATTCACCACAAGATCTTCAACCATAAAGCAGTTTCCTGCTTCTCGGCTGACACGAATGTTAGATGGCAGAGACCAGGAATTCAAGATGGTTGGTGGCCAGATTTTTGTGGACAGAGATGGTGTTTTATTTAGTTTCATCTTAGATTTTTTGAGAACTCACCAGCTTTTATTACCCACTGACTTTTCAGACTATCTCAGGCTTCAGAGAGAGGCTCTGTTCTATGAACTTGATCCTCTGGTGGATCTCTTAAACCAAAAACACCTACTACAGCCAAGACCTGCTCTTGTGGAGGTGCATTTCCTAAACCGAAACACTCAAGCTTTTTTCAGAGTGTTTGGCTCTTGCAGCAAAACAATTGAGATGCTAACTGGGAGGATTACAGTGTTTCTAGAGCAACCTTCAGCACCGACCTGGAGTAGTAACTCTTTCCCTCCTCAGGTGACCTTACTTCCACTGCCTCCACAAAGACCTTCTTACCATGACCTGGTTTTCCAGTGTGGCTCTGACAGCACTACTGATAACCTAACTGGAATCAGGTATTTTGTACTTAAAAAGCATCTCTTTTATACAAATTTCTGATGTTTCCTCTCAAAACCAAAAGTTTCTCATGCCTGAAACTTTTCTTGGAAAAAATGACTACTCAAAATAATTTTGGGGGGTAACCAGTAGAGTTGGGTGGAATGACCAGATAATTATTGTCCAAACTGGGATACTTTTCAGTGTGTAAGAAGGAATTGTTACTATGTGAGACAATAGAAATAAATCAAGATTGTCCAGGGAAAACAGACTATGGTCATTCAAGTTGTAGGAGGGAATAATTTTATAGATTATGTTCCATTGCTATGGAATGAGATGCTTTTTTCTCCTTAAGAGATTCCTTTAGTGGCTGGCATGTAGTAAAGTCTCAACAGTTTGTCCTGATTTCCTTACAGTCTATGTATATTTGTTCTTTCAGTCCTGATTTGCCTACTGATTTTTCTCCATTCCACTTTATTTTTAAACACCATTAAGGCAGATATATCCCATGGCAAATTTGGTATCCTCTTACATCTTTGGCACTCTGAGAAAACTCAAAATATTGGGATAGGCTGTCAATATATTAAGGGTAGTTGCTTCTGAATCAATTATTCACTTTCTCTCCCTGTTATTCTTGGCTGGACCCTAAGGCTGATTTCCACTCTGCTGTCACGGACACTTCTTTCCCCTGCTTAAAAATGTCTTAATGCTGTCCCACTATTATTTTACTAACTGTGAAAGCTGGCTTTAATTTTCAGAAAGAAAAAGAAGTCTGCATATGTTCTTTACTGATAGTATTTAAAGTAAAATAGACTTTTTTGAGGGTAAAGGTAGATAGACATATTTTGAGATATTTTCTTAACTTTCGCAGTAGCCATCAGGAACAATCAATGTTTGCCCCCCCACAACATACCCCTTGGTCCTGTACACTAGCTTAAGAACACTGGGCAGTATGATAACTCTTAAGTTTTTACGAATTATAATTTCTTGCCCTTCCAAAGAGGTTTGAATGTCATTTTGGGGAAAGAAAGCCAGTTAAATTAACAGGCTAATTGTGAAGAAAACGTAAGACCCAATTTTCATCTCAAACTGTTTTAAGATACCTCTGGGCCCAACTGGTGTAGCACTAACATAAACAGAGGGGAAATTATCAGTTTTTTGTTTTTTAAAATTTGATTGAGTGGTTAAGATCTTTGAGGATCCCTTAGGTTAAAAACCTAAGGAAAAGTGGTGTCATTGATTTTAAGAAGAAATGTGCAAAGTAAAAAGATATCCTAGAAATACTAAATGCTCTTTAAAAACTATGCATTTGGAGAAAATATAATCTTAAAAAACATTAGACACTTAAGTTGGGATATTCTTGTACACAGTGACTATATTTTCTCCTTTGTTATTAAGTGTTTGTGTTTTATGAATAGTACTACAATTTTTTCATCTTAATGAGAGAATGGCATTATATTTAAATTCCAAAATAGACAGTTGGAAAACCGGAAGCTATTTTTAAAATTGACTTTCTTCTTGCATCACCAAATAGTATTCTTTTCAGTTGTTTGAAGTTTAGAATTTTTTCCAGCCTGTAAGTGTTTGTGATTTTTTTCTATTGTATCAGTTTCAAAGTAGAATTAAATAATTGGAATAAGGTGACATTATTAGAAGTCCAGGTGATCGGATAAAAACTTGATCTTAAAAGGCCCACCTGAGGTATATAACTGCCTAGCTAGCAATCTTTTTTTTTTTTTTTCTTGCTCACTCCTTGATCTGGAAAGTAGAGGATTAAGCCTAAATAGCTCCTAGAAGTCTGGTGTATCATCCAGTTGTTAATAAGTATGTTCCACTAACATGACTTATCATTCTAAGGTCTTGTTAACCTAGCAGGTTGCTCAGTTATTATCTCTTAAGTTCACAGTACTAGAAATATTTGGCTTGCATCTTGCAGAGGTACAGTCATATGATACCATATTATCAAGCTCAAGTTATAGTCTCAGGATTCCAGAGCCTCTTTGATAGCCATATTCTATCTGATCTTTCCTTTATAAACTAGCTCAACCTTTTAAGTTTTTAAAATAAGTTTTGATTTTCTGTTTCCCATTGATTTCTTCTATCCTTTTCTTGTGCCTTGAAATCTTTCATTTCTCGGTTTGGCCTCTTAGGGAATCTAGTATTTTGGCCCAGTGTTTTCTTGAGAGTACATTCCACTTTGTTATCACCTACTATATACTATTTGCATCTTAATTTTGTGAGATGTTCTACAACTTTTTTTCCTTTGACAAATGTTTCTAGGTTATATAATTAAGATCTGGGGCTTGGGAGTAGATGAAATGATTTACTAATGTTAAAAATTTGCTGTATCAAGCATAATAAATATTTTTTGATATTTACTTTGTAGTTTTACAATTCTTACACTTTATGATTGAATTCTTTTCTTTGCCTAGAATGAGTTTCTAAATGTGAGCTTCAATAACCACACTCTATTTCAATCATAATTAAAAGGAGACTAGGGATGTCCCCAAGGCTCTTTTTATCCTATAAAACCACAGATAGTTTAGGTTGCTGCCTCAAACTAATTTAAGTTAGCCTTCTCTTCACATCTCACAAACACATGGTGGGAGGACACAAAGACATAAAAATATCCTGGATGGTAGATGAAGAAGGGGCAATACAGCTATTCTTTGCAGACATGTTGATATTATTAAAGCAACATGTCAATCTGAAAAGTTCAGGTATATTTTTCTTGAATTTTATGTATTAGTTCTACTGAGTTTTCCTGGAAATAGAAAGTTTTGTCATTTTGACTCCAGAAGCCTTTCAACCCCTCATTTCCCTCTTCAACAATGAACAGTTATTGAGTGAAAATTGACAATAAAATCTTCTTGATAAACTGGGAGT